GTGCAGCCGAACCATTGTACATAGTCTTCTGCGTCCATTTACTCCAGCCAAAAACCCTTTCTCTTCCCTCTCTGCGTTTCACTCTCTCTCTTTCCTACTGTAATGGGCATAAAGGTACGATATTTTTTATTCAGAGCAATATTATTTATTAGCTAATGGTTTTTCATGATTTGTGGATTTTGTGATGTTAGGGTTTAACAAAGCCTCTCTTTCTCTCTCTCTCTCTCTCTCTCTCTCTCTCTCTCTCTCTCTCTTTTATTTTGACCTTCATGTTGCCACCTTTTCTTTATTTTCCTCAGTGGAGGTAGCAGCTTCATCAATCTTGCTTCCACTTTCTTGAACAACACTTGTATCATTGTGCATGAGAGGTGTTTGGTGCAAAGTTTTAAGCTGCAGCTTTAGATCTGTCTCATCTGCTTTGTACTTGTACCATGAAGCCCAATATACATAGTTCACAAAGTTGATGCAGCTAAGGATTGCCAAGAAATAGTAAAATAGCTGCAAATTGTTTTTGTTTAGGTCTTTTCCATAGAGCCATCCTTGTTTGCTCGGAGCAACTCTTTTCGTCACGGCATTGATCAAGTCAACGAAAACTGAGCTCAAGAAGTACCCAAAAGAAAGTGAAAGAAAAGTGAATGAAGTAGAAAGCGATTTCATCCCTGCTGGAGCTTCCTTGTAGAAGAATTCAAGTAACCCTACTAGGGTAAACATGTCAGCAATGCCGAAAATAGCGTATTGGAACGAAAGCCAGAAGAGAGATATCGGCTTTGTGAAGTCCTTGTTGGCTTGGTTCTTTCTTTTCACCTCCACCAGGCCCGCTACCGCCATTGAGATTGCGGAGAGGACTAGTCCAACACCAACGCGCTGAAGCTGCGTTATGCCTGCTGGGTGCTTTGTGATCTTTCTCGCGAAAGGCACGAAGAAGTACTCGTACAGTGGGATGAGGATGGACATGAAGAGGAGAGGAATGACGGGGATAGATGGCGCCGGAACCTTGATGGAGCCCAAGTGGAGGTCCATGATGCTTCCTTGTTGGACTGAGAATGTTTGGAGTTGTGCCAAACAAGTGTTCATTATGATGGTGCTGAAGAGAATTGGCAACATTCTTGTCAGGACCTTCACTTCTTCCACTTGTGTTACTGTGCAAACCTTCCATGGTTCGGGCTTGGAGCCTTTGCCAAGTATGGCTGCTTTGTCCAGACAACTGATTCAATACCATTAGAAAAAACAATTAGTACAATGTGTCATAACCTATAAGGCACCAATTTCTTTTGGAAATCGCACATGTGAGGCACATAAAAGGTAATTTGACAATTTCAGTGCATGGCATATAAGGGTAAATTTGACTCTCACTAATCATAAATTAATGTAATGGTACCTGAATTGATGTGTATGGGTAATTTTTTCTTCCGTATAATTTGATTCTTTCTCACTAATCTCATACAGTTCATGCGAGCTCTCTGGCTGCGGTAAACGCCTATTTTTTATCGCAACGACAATAACCTGTCACAATATTCCGACATGTGTGAAAATGTTGTGCTAATTGAGTTTGACTAGATAGAAAGGCCTTTAACAGAGAGAGAGAGAGAGAGAGAGAGAGAGGCAGACCTGAACGATCCTTATGATGGGGCTGTCACCGGGGACTTGGAGGCGATAGAAAGGCTTACCCATTGCAAGAACAGAGAACCCAATAACGGCTGCAATAGTTGATATAAAGAAACCCCAGTACCAATCTACATTCATGCTCACATACACAATGGCCGTGACACCAATAGTTGCTCCAGCTGTAGTACTGAGCATAAACCAATTGAAAAACGTCGCCAGCAACTTTGCTTCCTCTTTCCGGTTAAACTGGTCAGCACCAAGTGCCGGCAGCGCTCCCCTCACGCCACCTGTTCCCAGTGCCAACAAGCACAGGGATCCATATAGCATTGCGGCGATACGGCCTTGGACACAATTTGAAAGGCAAGTTTTTGTTGGGTGCAAATGCTTTGAATAAGCTTGCGTTGTCATCATCACCAAAGCCTAAAAGTGAAACAAATTTTATAAAATTTTGTGACATAAGTAGAACTGGAGAACCAGAAGAAAATATACCAAATCATATGAATTTTTTTTTCTTTACCAGTATCTCAATTACGCCAAAAATCAGGCATGTTGTGAATCTGCTCAAGTATGTGTCCGATATGAAGCCTCCAACGAGGGAGAGGAGGAAAGTTGATCCCATGAAGTTTGTGAGAAGGTTGGAGGAGTGCGCCAGATCAAAATGCATCACGTACATAAAGTACAGCACCATGCTGACCATATTCGCGACGAATCCCATGCTGTCCAACGCCAGCAACACTACACAGGCAAGAAAAAAAGGCAGTGTAAACCAATATATACAAAAGCAAGCAGTATAACCAGATAGAATTCTGCACAGAAGGGATTTCCGCACACCCTTTTTCTGAGAATGGCTACTTACCGAAAATGAAGCTGGAGGCAGTGAGCCCTCCCTTCTTCTTGTCCACCGGCTCGAGGGAGCTGTAGGTTGGCTTGGCATTCTCTTCTGCCTGGTGTGCAGAACATTGTGAAACACATTAACACGAGTAACACAAAAAACACAGACATGAACAGAAAGAAGATTTAGGGTTTTCTTACTTACCATTGTTGAAAGTTGAGAATAAGTTAAGTTGAGAGTACTTGTTTTTTGACAAGAGCCCTTGAACATATAGCACAAAAAGAGGCCTAGTATTTAACGTTTAAGGCATCGGATTGATCGCCTTATTGTTGTCAACTTTGTTCTCTCTCTCTCTCTCTCTATATATATATATATATACCTAAATTTACGTTTCTGCCTCTCTTCTCTCTACCTTTGTCTTTCTCTGTCTCTTTTTGTCATGGCGTGTCCCTCAAGTGGAGGAATGCAACTTGGAACTTTCACCTTCTTTTTTTTTGCTGTGAACTTTTGTCCATTTTGCATTTGGGAACATGTCGTTTTTCATTAGGTTTGATTAAATGTCTAGATTATGATAAATGAAGTTAATTGTATGCTCTCGACGAACTCTATGTTCATTTTTTTGGTTGATTCCTCCATGAAGTTTTTCAATGATTAGGATATGTGATCAAGGATGGATGTACATTGGGCCAAGTGATACAAGGACTGCCTGGAGGCCTTGAAACAAGCATGTGAAGGTCTTTTGGCGACTCTTCGAATGTTTGATATGGGTTCCTTTTAGTACACACTATGTGTTGATACAACAACCGCAAGGAAAAATTTCTCATGTAAGAGTCTTTTTTCTTAGGACAACCCTAAAAAGGAAACCCTGGAACCAAAGAATTTGAAAGCATCAACCGAGTTGCAAATTTAAAGGGGAAGGAAAGCACATGAAGTGAACCGTCTTCTCATTTATCCAAAAACTCTTTTAGTAGTAGTTGACAATGCAGCTCAAAGGGATCTTGATTAATTTACAATGTTTTCTCGGACCAAAGCTTCAAAATTTCATGGACTCATCATGTCTTTGTAGTTTCAAATCTGCCTGATAATAACTAAGTATTAATATATGAGATGCTAAAGAGACTCTCAAAGTGAGACTCTTTATGGACTCTCTAACATCTTATGTTTTGACATAATATTTTATAATATTGACACGTAACTGCGAAGTGACAAATAATCCACAGTCTCACTTTAAAAGTATCTCCTTAACATTTCTCTTAATATTATTCCTTTTACAAGTCCAAAACAGAAACCAGCATCCAAAAAAAAGTGTGAACTCTGGCATGCCTTGGTAATTTCACATTTCTTGTGACGGACGAAGCAAAAATATTTGTATGGGTATCATCGATATTGCAGAGTTTTCTTAATCATAGTCATAGACTAATTAAACAAAGATATCCAAAGCTCTAAAGTAATATCCTTAAATCTCAGTTAAAGTTACACAAGCAGCATAATATATTAATATTACGTAGTTAATAAAGCACTTAAACAGAGGGTTCTAGGAGAAATTGATAAAACTCATTGGGTGGTCATACAACCACTTTATCTAAGAGATAACTAGCAAAAGTGTACGTGCGATATTGCGAGTGTTTAAAGTGTTTTAGAAATATATATATACATACAACAAACTCATGTTATAGAAAATAAATTTATATACATAAGTTCATATTTATTAAAAGATTAGCAGTGCTCAATTGCTCATTATTCAAATGATCGATAAGCTACGAAAATTAGATTTTCATTCATATGTACATAGTAATAATTAGAAAGTTGGCACTGGTAATCTGGTCAATATTCACAAGGATGTTTCTTAGTCATCTTCATTCTTCCTTCGAATGAACAGCTTTCTCTTGATCATCTAAAGTGGTGCTTTTTCGTTTTGTTTTGTCCAGAAGTACTCCCTATAAAGAAATAAACTTGTTAATGTAAACACATATATTTGCAAAAAAGACAGTCTCACCGCACTCTATCAACAACAACCAGATCAGATAAAAACAGTTCGTTGATATATATAAACTTTTTCTTACTAAATTTCGAAACCAACTAAAGTTACTTTCGTAAAAATGCCAATTAACTTTGCCTTTCATGCCAGTCACCACACCTATCCTTCCCTTTCGATTCCTAACCTACCACATGCAATTGTTTGGATTTTAAATCGACTACCAAAGTTAAATCTAGTGCAACTGAGCGGACTGAATATTGACATAGACAAATAGTAGTGGGAATGATGATGCAATTATTTGAAATTTGCTACGAAAAACGAATCTATAACTTAGGTTCCAAAGTGGAAAAATAGCACGGTCAACTATGAATTTGAAATTCTCAAGTAAACTTCCCATCAAAAGGCAGCATGGGTGAGGTGAAGTTCAAACAATTACGACCAAAAAATAAGTTTGTGACATATTAAAAAATTTCTCGACTTGTTAATTAAAAAATAATAAAAAGTTCCAATATGGAATAGAAAGCCCAAAATATAGCCCATGAAAGGGACTACCCAATGCAAAAGAGTAAGCCCACCTGCACGAGCCCCAACAAACACGAGACCTTGGCCTTTTGGGAGTACAAGGGCGGGAAGCAGATTCATCCCTAACCTCCAGCCAAAACCCTTTCTCTTCTCTCTCTCCATTTCACTCTTTCTCTCTCCTCTTTTCTTCTGCAATGGGTATAAAGGTACACTTTTTCGTTTCCAGATTAACAGTATTGAATTAATTCTGGGATTTATTGGCTAATGGGATTTTATGATTTGTGGACGTTGTGATGTTAGGGTTTAACGAAGCTGCTGGCGGACAATGCCCCGAAGGCCATGAAGGAGCAGAAATTCGAGAGCTATTTCGGCCGAAAGATCGCCATCGATGCCAGCATGAGCATTTACCAGTTCCTTGTATTCTCTCTCTCTAATTGATGTATTAACTGCATGAATTTAGATTAAAGAAGCTTAATTTTGAAGTGGGTTTTTGTGGAATTGTGTAGATTGTTGTGGGAAGGACTGGGACTGAGATGCTCACCAATGAGGCTGGTGAAGTTACTAGGTACCCTTTACTAAAGTTCTAAACTTTTAGTTACTTAAGCAGGTTTGCTAAGAACCTTTTATTTTGCGAATCATGACATGGGTTTTGTTTATCTGGGTTCATTGTAGTCATCTGCAAGGCATGTTTTCACGGACGATTAGGCTTCTGGAAGCTGGAATTAAACCACTGTAATTAGTTTCTTTACCCTTAATATATGTTCTGTTAGTCTTGATGTTGTCCTTCTTGTTGTCCTATCTAACCCAAAAGCTTATTGACAAGTGTGTCTAAAAAATTGTTTTTCAGCTATGTTTTCGATGGGAAGCCTCCAGAATTGAAGAAACAAGAGCTGGCAAAGCGGTAGCTTTCCTGTTGACTAATTCCTTAACCATGGTTACTGATCAATGCATTTGTTCAATAATACTTGACATAATGAACGTGTGATGTAGTTACTCAAAGAGGGCAGATGCCACTGATGATTTGGCAGCGGCTGTGGAGGTGCGTGTATATTATTTTTGACTTTTTGATTGGTAAAATGTAGACAATGTAAAGTGCATTTCACAGCGTTTTTATTGTCTTCAAAACTTTGCAGGATGGTAATAAGGAAGACATTGAGAAGTACAGTAAACGAACAGTAAAGGTTGGTTCTTTGCCTGTATTTCTTTTGTATTATCTGCAACCATAATTACCATCACAGCACTTAAAATATGTTACATGAGAAATAGAATGTTGGAGTCCATGTGGTTCTTGTATTGACAGGTGACAAAGCAGCACAATGATGACTGCAAAAGACTTCTAAGGCTCATGGGGGTACCTGTAGTTGAGGTGGGAAATGATATATTTTAAGCAAGCTGTTGCAGATTTGAATTTCAGTGCGAAAACAAATGAATGTAATTCACAATGTTTTGACTTTCACAGGCTCCCTCAGAAGCAGAGGCACAGTGTGCTGTACTTTGCAAATCAGGAAAGGCAAGTGACCAGTTCGTTATGAGTGGTTTAAGGATTCTTACTAGAATGCCATTTACTTAAATATTTCATTTTTTTTAATTTCTACAGTATTTGTGTGGATCGTATTTGTGCAAAAAGGCTTCATTCCAAGATGGGTTATATGGCATTGATTTTGTTGAATTAATAGGAGCCATTTCTTTCCTGGCCTGAAAATGTCCTTAGAAATATACGACATTAATCAAACTTCTATCTGTTGCAGGTTTATGCTGTGGCCTCTGAAGACATGGATTCTCTTACATTTGGAGCGCCTAGGTTTCTTCGTCATTTGATGGATCCTAGCTCAAGGAAAATCCCTGTCATGGAATTCGATATTGCTAAGGTGCTTACAAATTTTTAAGGCTGTCGTGATTGCCTAATATTTGATTCACGGTTCTAATTGTGGCATTGCTTCAGGTGTTGGAGGAGCTAAATCTTACCATGGATCAATTCATTGACTTGTGCATTCTGTCCGGATGTGATTATTGTGACAGCATTCGAGGTACATAGGAGTTTCAAATTCAGTTTGTGACCACATCTTCTGTCATATATAATATTGAGAATCGTTTCTCTAGTTTCCTTGAAATCTTAGCTATGCGTCCATTACTCAGTACCTTATAAATTTACGCGACAGGGATTGGAGGACAGACAGCTTTGAAGCTCATCCGTCAGCATGGCTCCATTGAGAATATACTCGAGAACATAAACAAAGAAAGGTTTATCTTGTATTATCGCACTTTTATTTTACATATACGACGGTGCATGAAAATGAATTTGTATTTGTTATGGGTGCACTTCTTTGTGCTATTTCCCTGGTTTGTTTCTGCAGTAATTATATGCACATTTATTGCTTTTCTATCTCCAGGTACCAAATACCAGAGGAGTGGCCCTATCAAGAGGCTCGGAGACTTTTTAAGGAACCAGTTGCTTTATCTGATGAAGAACAAGTTGAGATTAAATGGACAGCGCCAGATGAAGAAGTAAATGACTTGCCAGTTGACTGTTGTTATATGATGATGTATCTTTTTTAATCTTGCATGTCAAAGTACTCAAATCGTCTTCTCGTTTTTACAGGGACTAATTGCATTTTTGGTGAATGAAAATGGATTTAACAGTGACAGAGTGGCAAAGGTGTTGTCTTACTCAGCAATTTTAAGTGATTTACCTGAGATTAAGTTGCTTCTTTTTCAGCATCTTGGAAGCTTTATTTATCTCGATTTCTCTGTTGATTAGGCAATAGAAAAAATTAAAGCAGCCAAGAACAAGTCATCGCAAGGAAGGTAAGTGATTTAGCATGAATAGCTATGAATTCACTAATTTCCTTCTTTATTGGGATCTAAGGCATCATTCATTTTATCATTCGCAGACTTGAATCATTTTTCAAGCCGACTGCTAACCCATCTGTACCCATTAAACGAAAGGTATGTTTCCATTAAGCATTTTAAGCTTCCATTTTTCTTCTCTCTATCTATATATATGGCTAAAGGCCATTGTTCTAAAAATCTCCGCCTAGTGCCACCTAGGCGCTAGGTGGCTGGCCACCGCCACGATTAATGCTTAGGCATTTGAAAATTAAGAAAGGGTGCCTAGACTTGCTAAGGCGCCCATCTAGATTGCCTAGGCACCTGCCTAGGTCGTGATTCATTTAGACAGGAAATAGATAACTTTTATTTTGCATTTTTTTTCAATAAATTGTAAGAGACTTGTTGCATATTTAAATGAACACACATTATATCCTTGTTTCCCATGTTTTCATTATGTTCCAATACATCATAATATATATGTCATTTCATTTTGTAGTTTATGATGAAATTATATATATTTTAAGTCTAAGCAGACACTTATTTATACGAAATATAATAGATTTACTTAAATCCGCCTAGTCTGCTTAGGCGCCTGCCTACCCTGCCTAGCCGCCTAGGCGCTAGGCTCCAGCCTGCCACCCGACTAGCGCGTAGCGTCTTTTAGAACCTTGCTAGAGGCAGACAACACTCTTATGCATTAGTTGGTTGTATCATCTATCTTCATTGGACAGTTATTTATGTTTTATTTGAGGCTTAAGAGTTCTTTGTTGGTCTTACGTATCATTACTGTGAACTCGCTTGTGGTCTCTCATGATATTACCTGAACAGAACTGATGAAATGAATTAAATGCGTTGCTTTACGCACCAAGATATTGATTCCTTTGCACATCTTATTGAATCTTAATTGGAAATTTGTAAGGCTGCAAGCTATGTGTGCTGAAACATTACAGGTTCCCCTCTCATCGATTTTGATATCTGTCTCTGTCAGATTGCCTTTTCCTCCCTAACTCATGAAAAGAACAAAAATGGCGGAACAGGTTATCATTATTTCTTGCTACATTGAATGACAGGGAAGCAAATGTGTGCTTAAATGTCCCAAACCAGCAACCAGGCATAAGATGTTCTTTCTACAAGATTGTAATCCATCGAGGCCCACTGTCATTGGCAGCATAAGTCTGCCAATTCTTCATTTGGGCTCCAAGCACTTGATGCCATTAGCCAAAGGCGTCTGTTTTGGCACATGAAGCTGAAAACCTTGGTGAAGCTTCACAGACAATCTGTGTTTAATCCAATCTCATTTAATTTATATCATCAGTATCATAGGAAAAATGAATTGTTGCTATCCCGTTTTGCCACAGCTAGAATGCAGAACTTTATGAAAAAGCTTGTAACCGGGGTCTTACAGTTCTAGTTTCTTGAGCTCAAGCTGTAGTAATTAGCATAAATATGTGCGTGTGAAGGCCCCTTGTCTCTAATTTATAGCAAAATCGCTTGTTTATTCCTGCACTCTCATCTTGCATTGCCTCTTTTGGTCTTTTTAATAGGACTTTCTATCCTCTTTTAGTTTTGTTTTTCTGATATTTGTTTATCCTTGTTGCAGGAAACACCACAAAGCACGGCTAAAGAAACTGCGAACAAAAAGGCAAAAGCTGGTGGCGGTAGAAAGAAAAAATAGTTGAATTTGCGTTGTAACTTCAAGCGAGATAGAGTTGAGTAAAGCAAACTCGCTACGGATTGACGCACTTTCATTTTCTTATGTTAGGATTGCAAGACTTAGGCTGTTTTCGGACGATGTTTGATGTAAAATTTTGAAGAGATTATGCAGTGTTTTAACGCCACCTTAATTGGAGATTAAGGAGATCAAACCTGGTGTGCAAGTCTCCTTTCAGGCAATATTCTTGTAACCAGAATTGTCCAACCAGTGAAATGTTGAAGTCCCGGTTCATCAGAACGTCTCCTGCCGTGGTTGCTGCTCGTTCCTGATCCGGTAATGGCTTACCGGATCTGTAAAGCCATCAAAGTAGACAATAACATTTAGATGATGTTTACTAACCATGGATGGGTATGCAAGGCACAACATGTTTTAAAATAAGTAGGTCTTACCCTAAAATGGTAAAACTAGTTATCTCATACCTGAACGGTAACTTTCTGATTCATGACTTTTTTGACTCCAAGTACATAAGACTTTACATGTTCAAACTGATTTTTTCACGTCACACAAATACTTTATTCAATTCTCCCGTCCCATTATCGCTTGTATAAAATATCGAATGTGCCTCTACTAAAACTTTACACACTTCCACCCAAACCCAAAATTAAGTCAAATGTGCCCAAATTCAAAAACCAAAGCCATCCTATCCCTATTGCAAGGATGCAACGGCCTCAAACGGCTCAAAAAAATCCACGCCCACGTCATCACCATCGGTCTTCAACCCGATCCCGCCATTTCAAACAAGCTGCTCAACTTCTGCGCCGTCTCCGTCTCCGGCAGCTTGGCCTACGCGCAGCTGCTCTTCTACCACCATCTTCAAAACCCACAAACCCAGGATTGGAATTCCCTCATCAGAGGCTTCTCCAACAGCCCTTCTCCTCTCCACGCCATTTTTTACTACAATCTCATGCTTTCATCTGGTTCCGATTCTTCTCCTGATACTTTCACTTTCTCCTTCGTGCTCAAGGCCTGCGAGAAGTTGAAGGCCCGGAAGAAGTGCGAAGAGGTTCATGGAGCTGTGGTGAGGTTTGGGTACGAGAAGGACGTCGTTGTTTGCACCAATCTTATGAGATCCTATGCGGGAGATGGGTTGATTGAGAGTGCGGAGAAGGTTTTTGATAATATGCCTGAGAGAGACTTGGTGTCCTGGAATTCTATGATTTCGTGTTATTCTCAGAAGGGTCTTCACCATATGGCGTTGAAGACGTATAATCTTATGAGAAATGAGAATGTGGGTCTTGATGGGTTTACGATTGTTGGGTTGCTTTCGTCTTGTGCTCACTTGGGCGCATTGAATACCGGAGTTCAGATGCATAGAATTGCTAATGAAAAGGGGCTTGTGGGGAATGTTTATGTTGGGAATGCGCTTATTGATATGTATGCTAAATGTGGTAACTTGGATAGTGCTCTTTGCGTCTTTGAGAGAATGGGAAAGAAAGATGTTTTTACTTGGAACTCCATGATTGTTGGGTATGGAGTACATGGTCATGGAGAAGAAGCAATCTCATTTTTCAGGCGGATGTTGGTCGAAGGAGTCCAGCCAAACTCCATCACATTTCTTGGTTTGTTATGTGGATGCAGTCACCAAGGTTTGGTTGACAAGGGTGTCGAGTACTTCAATGTGATGAGCTCCAAGTTCAGTGTCAAGCCTGGAATTAAGCATTACGGGTGCCTGGTGGATCTGTTTGGCAGAGCTGGGATGCTCGAAAAGGCGCTTCAAGTTGTTGGGACTTCGCGTGCCCAGGAGGATCCAGTCCTTTGGCGGACTCTGCTTGGCTCTTGCAAGATTCATAAAAATGTAGAAATAGGAGAAATTGCCATGAGGAATCTAATCCAGCTAGGGTCAGCTAATGCAGGGGACTATGTGCTTCTTGCTTCGATTTATTCTACAGAGAAAAATGCAGATGGTGTTGTAAAGATGAGAAAATTGATCAAAACTGAGGGAGTAAAGACCACTTCTGGTTGGAGCTGGATTGAAATTGGTGATCAGGTTCACAAATTTGTCGTGGACGACAAGTCACATCCAGATGCTAATGAAATTTACCAAAAATTGAGGAAAATAGTTCATCGAGCTGCTCTGCATGGTTACGTGCAGGAGGATTCCCTCATGACAGTGTCTGAACTTACTTCCACAGACACAGATTGTTTGGGAACTTCCGGTTCATGTCACAGCGAGAAGCTGGCAATTGCTTTTGGCCTAGCAAGAACTCCAGAAGGAACGCCCTTACGAATAGTAAAGAACCTGAGAGTCTGTAGGGATTGTCATTCGTTTACAAAGTTTGTTTCGCAAGCTTTCGATCGGGAAATAATTGTTAGGGATCGTGTTCGGTTTCATCACTTCAAGGGTGGATTATGTTCATGTAAAGACTATTGGTGACCAATCTAATTCGTTATTTGAATCAAACGAGCACACAATGAGGCCTAATCTCCAAATTGATTTCTGCTATAATTCAAAATCCAGTTCTTCAATTTGTACATTTCAAGCAAAAGTAAGGTTGCGTATAACAGACGTTCCTCTCCCGGCCTTCGCAAAGTGGAGAGCCTTATTGGCTTTGGGGTTGCCTTTTTTATTCAATATTCTTTTATTTTAATAAATACTTGGAAAATTTACCTTTTTAGGGTTCCAGATTATCTTCATCCTTATCCAGTTCAATGTCAACTCTACGAGATATGTATAGACTGGAGAATCAGGAATGGCAATTTTAACAATTGACTTGCATAATAAATCATATCTGTGAATAAAAATACAGATTTAATTGCAATTAAATGCTTGCAATTGATAAGCTGCACTAAGAAGTAAGTCCCATCGGCTGTATAAATCTTAGACCGTTAATGTGCTCGATTTTGCGCTAAGTCCTCCATTAGATCCAAGTACTCCATATTTTTTTCATAAAGTTTTTTTCAAGTCTTCCTAGTTCTCCCTCTACCACTTTTGCCTTGAGTCCCTACTTCATAGTTGTATCTTCTAACTGGAGCATCTGTAAGTTTTTAGTTCATGTGTCCACACCATCTTAATTGATATTCTCCCATGTTATCTTCAATTGTAGTCACTCCTACTTTACCTCATATGTCCTTGTTCTTAATCATATCATTTATCGTGTACCTACACATTCAATAAATCATTCTCATCTCCGCTACACTCATTTTTTTTAAGTATTGCTTTTTGACCACCCAACATTCCACTAAATCCACACTATATTCGTTAAAAATAAATAAGGTCTACAATGAGCTCAAATTTATATCAATAAAACACTGTCACGTTTTTTGATGAACCCTAATAGCACTAAACATAACCAAAACAAAATTAACCAAAGTTGTTATTAGTAATGGGTTTGGTTACTTAATGTGAACCCAACTACATATTCTCAAAGTCAGTGGAGTGTACAGCTAATTTTCAAACACGTGAAGCTAAAAACTAGGACATAGATTCTCCAAAACAAGCATATGCTCTTGAAAGCTTCCATCTTATTTTCTAAATGTAACCAGTAAGGAGCTTAATGATGCTGACTTGGTCGTCTTACAGCTGCTCAAAGCATGATTAGTACTTAAGAAAGGTGGTTTAGTGATGGGATTAGGAAAATGAATGATGAACTTGGAGATGGAGACCCTCCAACCAACCCAAGTTACGACCTTCTAGTGCAATTGAAAACAGTGTGACAGATAACAGAAAAGCCATTTGCAGGAAGCAACCTCCAAAGCATGTCAAATTCTGAGAAGAAAAAAGTAGAGATTGTCCCTAAAACAATGGAGTCTAAATTAAATAAAGGAGTTTTTGAAAGCCCACTGTGGAGGTTGGAGGATAGAGCCACTCTTAGCTTTCCATACTTTCTAACAACTCAACCAAAGGAAACAACAATTGCAACCTTCAGAAGCAATAACCAAGCTTTATTCCACTAAGTAATGTTGGCTATATGATTTCTAGAATGCTAATGCGCTAGTTTTTTGCCTAGTATTCCATTAGCAATTGCAACCTAACCAATTTAGCAAAGTCAAGTTATTTAAAGAATAAACTCGTATCCTTTGCCAAAACGCTTAGTTTTAGAATTTATTTATGAGAGTCACTTTGGCTAATTCACGTGATGATTAATATTACATGGTTGCGTTGCGTTAGATTTGATATTGAAAGCACATTTAAATTTATACAACTAGTGATATCAGATCTAACGATGAGTGACAATGCATTCTTTGATCATGGTCACGAAATGATCAAGAGAACATTTTTATCATTTATGATATATTTTAATGACATTATTATAAGAAAAAAAATGGATTGTCCTATTTGCTTGGAGATATATATCCGTATTCTTGATTCCCCTTATCCATGTTTTTTTTAGGTTAAATTTCTATTTTCAGTTGTACCAACTTAATTGGAAATATAAAAACAAAAGGACAAATTATTTATTTTTGTAAGGTTAAGAACAACTAATGACAAAATTAATGAAGTTCAACTTCATGACAATTTTTTTTCGGTTGAACATAAATAATCATTTTTTGATTAGTCCAATTAAAAAATAACACGTGTTACTTTTTAAAAGAAATTTAAGAAAAATTAAATAACATTTGCATTATTTTTTATAATAATAAAATATGCGTTAAAATATTATAAGGACAGATCTATAAATATATATATATATATATATATAAAATATATTTACTAATAAGTATAATATATGTCGATATCAGTTGTGAGAAAGTAAAAGAAGTGAACCAGTGTAAACCAATAAGTCAAAAAGGCGATATTATCGATTCATCACATTGAAGTTAAATGGTCAATTAAAGAATAGAATATAATAGAATGAGGTGGCTCGTAACCTTTACTTGGTATTTACTCAAATGATCAAATCCATTCCCTTCCATGAATTGAAAACCCTCCTACTTAATTATCCATTGGAACAAAACTACAACGTAATGAAAAAAAATATAGCCACTTAGTACTATAGTCTAGTCGTATTTTTCTTTACTAGTAAGTGAGAGGTCTTAGGTACGGTCGAATGTGAATTTGAATAAAATTAATATAACTAGTCCATTGTGAGATTTAGCTAACTCTCATACTCTTTAGTGTAGATAATACCATATGTATTATAAAAAAATATAACTTGCTTATTGGGAACCAAAAACTTACTAAAAGGTCAAATTCAAAGCAATAATATCATAATCGTCAAATTATTTTCATATGAATGATGTGTCACTACATATGTCATTGAGTTTATATAAAAAAAAACAAAGTAAGATTTAGGGTTAGCTCATATTGAATGAATAAAAAGCTTCGAGATGACAATACATTGTGAACCTTAGTATTCCAGAAACTCTCTTATAAGTGATTTCTCTCACTTTTCATATTCAGGTTGCTAAGAGAATCTTTAAAAGAGATGTTAAAACTGTCAAGTAGACAAATAACAGTAAAAAATAGCAACAGACTCTCTTCAACCGAGCTTTCAATTTCTTACGTGGCACTGAGTAAATTGAAGACAAAGTCTTTTGCTATAAAATTTATTAAATGATTTTCTAAGGGATCTAATGCAATATATAATAAATGTTGTTGTGTTGTATTCAAGTATTTGATTGGTTGTCTTAATAATTGGACCTCACAAATAGATAAAGAAAAGTATAGAATGACATTATTTAGCATATCAGGTGGAGCAAAAAATTGTACAAAATATCAAATTACCACTTAAGCCATCAAATATCATTTTGATGTTTAAAATTTGACATCTCCCTTAAAGATGCTCTAAAATTTAGGTAGAATATTTGCTACGTAACAATTAATTCTCATTACAAAATATCGCAAAAATGTATTAAATAATACATAAAAAAATTATACACACTTATTAAATTACTAGTAGAATAAATAAAGATGCATAGAGACAAAAATACTAAAAATAAACAAAAATAAAGACAAGAGGGTAAGATCCGGTGGAGGCGCAAAGGGCCGTAAATGGGGTCAACGGTTTGCTCAAGAAACAGATAGATCCTCGAGGACTCGTATGTCATGACGTAGCTTTCGGGGCATGCCCCATGCTTTGCCTTTACCTTCACTCACAATATCGACAACAAATATTACCAGCTTCAGCAACAGTTTCAATTATGAAAACCGATTTCTGCAAATCGCGTAACGTGGAGCACTTGTTGTCGTTAGAGTTCATGTTTACAAGGCTGACAACTTGCTTTGATTCCTAAAAAAAGTTAAGTTTTCACCGTAAGATCACTTAACAATATGAGAAGTAACGCAAGTACTTTTGAAACACATGTTAGGTTTGCTATCCCCGATGTTTGCAAATTATTAAATTTGACATGTTATTTTGTTTGCAAATTTTTCTATAAATTTAATCTCCTTAACATTAATTTTTGAAAAATAACGAAACTCTTCAATACGATACCAAACAGCTCTAAATTTTCTTATAATATTTACCACAATACGTACCAAAGGCTTCAACATTCACCTACTCCTTTGCTATAAATACTCACCCGACCAATCATTTCGTATTCATTCGCACATCCAAACTTTTCTCTTCCTCTTTGGCACTAACCTGCATTTTCTTTCTAATTAGCACCACCACCAATGGCGGCTGTCTTTGCTCTCTTTCTTGTGGCTTTTGCCGCCGTCTTCGGCAGCTCTGCCGCTGATCCCGACATGCTTCAGGACATTTGCGTCGCCGACCTCACCGCCGGTAACTTCCTCTTCTTCTTCTTCTTCATCTATATTTCCAGTGGTTCAGTATTCTAGTGCTAAAAGTGAACACAGAAATCCATGTCAAAAGAACAGTAGAAAAAGAAAGAAAAAACAAAAGTTGCCACTTTTTCTTTGTCCCCTCAATTATTGCAAATTACAAGTTGACCCTGTTCATTGGCAACTTTTCATGTTATAATGATTTCAGGAGAGATTTGGTATTTTCTTTATTCTTTTCTGTAACTTGCTGTGTTAATATTCTTAGCTTTTCTTTTTTTTATAATTTTTTTGCTGGTTATTCACTTTATTGTGTTTATGTCCTTAATTGTCCCCAATAATTAGGATGAGCATCCCATCCGGATCTAAATGGTGAGGGTCTTGGGGATTCTTACATCCTAACCGTTCATCATATATCGTGCGGTCAGTTTTTGTCAACTACTATTTATGTTTAATTTTAAATAATAAAATTCAAATGATTTCTGACCAAACGATATACGATAAACGGTTAGGATATGAGAATTCCTAGGATCCCCACCATTTGGATCCGGATGGGATCCTCATCCCAATAATTTTTCTCGTTCAGCCATTAAACATATACTTGAAGCTGATTAAGTAAACCCAATTCATGATTTCTGGAAAAAATAAAAAATAAAAATCCATGATTTGATTACCCAACTCTCGCAAAGCGGAGAACTTTGTTGGATCGCCCTTTGATTAGCTTAATTTTCTCTCACTTTATTGTTGTTGAGCCTACTAATCATGTTTCTCCAAGGAGCTTGTAGTTCGGTTGGTTTAAGACCATCCTCACTTGCACCAGAGGTTCCGAGTAATAAGAACCCTAATTAGCCCCCAACAAACAAGCACATTGATCCACTAATACACTAGAACCTGATTAAAAATAAACCCACTTCATGATTTCAGGAAATTAAGTCTCAGTTTTAGTACAATTTTTTGCTTATTCCAAGTGAATTGTGGTAAATAACACAGCGGTGAAAGTCAATGGATTCGTCTGCAAGAACGCAGCAAATGCAACAGCAGAGGACTTTTTCTTCACCGGACTAGCCAAACCAGGCCTCACCAACAACACATTCGGCTCCTTGGTGACTTTAGCCAATGTCGAAAAAATCCCCGGCCTCAACACCCTCGGCGTTTCGCTTGCCAGAATCGACTATGCCCCCGGCGGAATTAACCCACCCCACACTCACCCCAGAGCCACAGAAATTGTCTACGTTCTTGAAGGAGCATTGGACGTTGGATTTATTACCACAGCAAACAAGCTCATCAGCAAAACTATTAAGCAAGGTGAAGTCTTTGTGTTCCCCAAAGGGTTGGTTCACTTCCAGAACAACAATGGGAAGAGTCCGGCTTCGGTGATTGCCGCGTTTAACTCTCAGCTGCAGGGCACCCAGAACATCGCCCTCACGTTGTTCGCTGCCACGCCGGAGGTGCCGGATAATGTGCTGACCAAGACGTTCAAGTTGGGAACCAAGGAGGTTAACAAAATCAAGTCTAAGCTAGCGCCCAAGGCCTAGAGAGCTTTTTCGGTTCTGTGTTGCGTTTGTTTTGTAATTTGATGGAAGGTGATGATCCTTGTATTTTCTCTCCTTGATTAGTCCAAATTGGTTACTTGTTTTGTTCTTCAAGTCTTCAAATGAAATCAGCTGCCTACCTTACCAATCTCACATTATAAATAAAGTCTTGCCTCATACATTGCCCACTTTCTAACTAGAAATCCACCTAACACTGGATTTTTCAAGAGTTAAAAGGTCAAGGGTAGCGATTCTGAGACCCCCGGTTTAGCGTAAGACGCTCGCATCCTGGGTAAGGAAAAATGAATTCCGGTGGAAATATGATTTCCGCATGCCTATTTTCTCCTTCCGCACTCCTCTTGTTTCTCTTTGGATCCGTCGTAGATGTGGATCATCCAAGGCACGTTAGCATGTCGTACTTCTCTTGTTTGAACCCGAGTTTGAAACCAAACTTCTATTTAGGAGGATAAATTGGGGCGATTTAGATAAGATCTGAGGTAGATCCAACTTTCTATTCACTCATGGAATCCAAGCGATCTAGGAGGGACCATTAGTTAAATCCAAAAAGAAACAATAAAAGAAGGGCATGGAGGCAATAATTAAGAAAGAATAATCAGCATGGTTGGGGGAGATTAGCTGGATAATATGTTTTCTAAGGGCAGAAAGACGACTACATACAAACCACTTCACAACAATGAGAACAGAGAAGGATGATTAAATATGTTAAAAGGTTAGATATGATTAAATTAGCCTAAACTTAATATTTTAGCGTTAAAACCATGATTAGTTGTAGCTAATGACACTAACTATTGTTTAATTATCATGGTAACGTTTCAGCATGGGCCTATTTATTTTAAATTAACGTTTAAACTACGATGATGTATTAACTATACTATATTTCGGTGGGAAAATGATTTCCACCCACCTCTCTTTTCTCCTTCTGCACTCTTGATCCGTTCAATTCAAAGACTTAAAAAATAGTGCGGAAATCAACAATGCGACAGCCAGTTCAAACACAAAGATAAACTGCATTTCCATAATAATTAGAAGTACTAAATCGAAATGTAACCAACAATACATAATGCAGTTAAGACATGTCTAGAACAGCAATGTAGAAAACACGATAAAAAGGTAAAGGTTTTACTTCAATCCAGTCTGCTGCCTGCCGTCGGGGATTGCAAATAGAACAATGGGCTTTGACGGCCTGAGGTAGGGAACATCGCATCGGAAATATCCTTTCCTCTCGAGCTGCAATATGTCCCCACGCTTGAGATTTCGTATGTTGGAATCCCCAAGTGCTGCAGTCTCCTTTTCGGTACATGGGTTAACAACATCGATAAAATTCTCATCTTCTTCGAGCTGCAATCACAAGTTACAAAACAAATATGTAACTCAGCCTGTACATATTACACATCACTTATAGAAGTAAAAAAAGAATCAGCTAAAACGTTTTGCTCAGATCAGTCTTTTATCACTTATATTTCTATCTTATAATATGATTTTCGAGATAAACTCCACATATTTCCCCCTCAAACATGAAATCTTCCATACAATACAATTAAAGGTACACATATGAAGCATCCTTTGTGACTGAGTTAAGCATCAGGCTGTTAAACAAACTACCCCAACCCCAAGTTTCCTTCCCATCCTTGTGAAAAGAAAATTCTAGGTGTTTTACAATCGACAGACTAATTGATTAGTAATATGCTAAGGAAAAAAACTTCACATTTGTTGATTGGCACGTACCTTCTTCTTTGTTATCAGATGATCAAACTCCATCAATGAGAGCTTAACAAGCTCATCTGATTCAGGGAGCCAGGTGAGCTTCAATCTTGTGGTCTTGACAGAACCCTCAGGATGCAAGACCCCTGTGAGTTTGAGATTTCCGTCTTCGTCCTTCTCAATTCCCTTAACTATGGCATTCCCCCAATCCATCAAGGTAACTTCCTCATCTACTTTGATGGCCTCCGCATCAGCATAGTCTAGCCATATCCTCCTTGTGTATGTTGTTGCCTTCTCCCCAGCACCTTCATACTTCTTATGCCTAGGAATGATGCGGACAAATGGTTTCTCAGGACCATTGGTCAGGGTCAACAACACACGGCGCTCTTCGATGACGGCAGTATGTCTTGGGCATACAGGATCAATTATCTTCTTATTAATAGTCCAGAGTTTGTCCCACTCCATGAGATTCAGATTTTTCGAAGCCCCCTAAAATTAATCAGAAGAGTGTATAAATTGAATTTTCATCTAATGTACACAAACTAGTACCGATTAAGGAAAAACAATTTAAGGACATAATAAGAAGCATTAGTCGGGCATTATATATATATATATATATATATATATATATATATATATATATATATATATATATATATATATATATGTTATAGGCATAGCTCATAACTTCTTTATGCATAATACTAGGACAGAGTAGTGTCTTACCTGCTCAAGAATGAATTGTATTAAGGCTTCAACTTTGAGACCTCTGCGCACAATTCCTTGGACAGTTGGAAAACGAGGATCGTCCCATCCACTAACCTTCTCATTTTGAACGAACCACAATAGCTTGCGCTTGCTGAGAAGTGTATAAACCATGTTCAATCTACTAAATTCATAGATATGAACTTTTCGCAGTCCCATGTCCTCTTGAACTCGATAGTACTGAGCATTGCGATCATGATACTCACTAGATCGAAGTGCATGTGTGATACCTTCTATGGAATCAACAAATGGACAAGCAAAATCATAAGTTGGGTATAAGTTGTACTTGGACCCAATCCGATGATGTGGTGTTGGATTGCAGCGATAATAAACTGGATCACGGACAGATTTGTTTGGATCCTGCATATCCAGCTTCCCACGGACACAGCACTCCCTACCCCTCTTAGACCCAGCAATCATCTCATTCCATAATTTAAGATTCTCCTCTAGACTGTTGTTTCTACATTTTGATTCAATGCCATCCATCCTTTCTTTCTTCATCTCCTCACGTGGCGTATCATCAACATATGCTTTACCCTGGCGAATCAAATTCTCAGCCATTTTCATTAACTGAGGAAAGTAATCTGAAGTATAGGTAACCTTTTCGTACTTGATACCCAAAGTCTCAATATCCTTGAGAATATTGTCCACAAACTCATTGCTTTCTTTATCAGGATTTGTATCATCAAACCGCACAATAAGCTGACCCTGATACCGTTGAGCAAAATATTGATTCAATAACGCTGCTTTTGAGTGCCCAATGTGAAGATAACCACTGGGTTCCGGCGCAAATCTCAGTCGAACCTTCCCAACCTCTGCTTCAGGAAGATCTACTTCAAATGTTGGTTTGCTTCCTGCTTTACCTTTCTCAGATGCATCTCCATTTGCACCCTTTGACTGCGGATCAACCTGATTGCCTTTTGCTTTAGCTGCAATTGGCTTTCCTGAGCCTTTCTTGCCGATGAAGGTAGCAGTGACTTCATTCAGAGCATCACCATATCCGGCTAATAGGGAATTGAACCACCGAGAAAGGTTTGGATACTTCTTTGAATTCCTCAAACTCTCCCATCTTTTCCCAGTTCCTGCAAAGAAAAACGTATTAGGGCCGGTTTGAGATTGCCTTTCTGGCTTGATAGATTAACTTAAAAAGCACTTCTGGGTCATGGAAGCGCTTTCTGGAAAAAACACCAGCTAGGTGCTCCTTCAGAAAGCACCTCCTTTGATAAAAATTAACAATGGTTGCAATAAAAGTACGTCTAGCAAAATCGCTCTCGAGCAGAAGTGCTTCTTACAGAAGCGGTCCCAAAGACCCAAAAAGCACTTGCATTTATGTTACTTGTCCTTAAATATCTACTTCTCATAATCATGCTAAAAAAGATCATAAACAACGACCAACAAACCGTGAGGGATGCAAAGCTATACCTGCAAGACCGGACCAGATTGCGATATCCGCGATCGACAAAGATTGATTGGCAAAAAAAGTATTGCTTCCCAAATATTCATCCAAATGCTTACAAGCACTCTCAAATGCAGAACCCTGTGAGAGCACAGGCGCGTACTCAAGCCACTCATCAATCTTCCCAGCTTCGAATGCATTCTCCCCATACAATTTCGCAATCCGACCCATATATCGAAGCAGTACATTTCTTCCATGCAATTTCAACCTAAATCCACAGATGCATTCAACATCTAATTTAACCCTTCGCAAAAAAAATAAGAAATGACTGATATAAAAAATAACCATCGGAGAAAATTAATAGGGTTTAGGGTTTACCCATTGGAGAACTGAAAAGAATAAGGGGAATCAGGAGGGAGAGAGGCGTCGGTTGGGAGAGAAATCCCGGCGAGCTTGGCCGCGACGAGCTCCGCGAGCGGAGGGTTCTCGGCGGGGAACGAAACAACCTTAACCTCCATCGTCAAAACCCAAGGTGTAGATTTTGCTCCTGGACTAGTTGCTTGATTGTTGGATTAGAATTGAACGAAGGAGATGAGATGAAGAGAGAAACGACGAACGAGGGCGACGATGTGCGAATCCAGACAGAACTGATTCGGTGGGCACACTAAAACCCTAAAACTCAAAACTGATGGGCCGTCGCAGAATCTTCCTTCCGCAATTAAAAAAGTGGGTGGGAGAGAGAAGGTTTGGGTTACAGGAAGGCGGTGCTATTCAGACTCACATTTTTTTTTTTCTTTTTCCTACTTCTCTTTTTGCTCGTTTTCATTTTAATAAAGAGAAAATGAGAGTGTGAAAATTGACGAAAGCGAAGTGAAGCCATAGATAACTCTATTTAAAATGAATGGTCGGATATTGGCACATATAGAAGAGCACGTTATTTCAACTAATGTGATTACGCTTATGTCTGTAAGTGAAAAATGGAATTAATTCCTACTTTATGAGTGGACTATAGTGCTACATGCTTGGGATTTAAGCAAATTTGTTTCCTTCAACACAAATTTTTCCCAATTTTTCCACCATTTAAATATTGTCACATGTTGAGATCAATAAAAAGAATTTAATCATTTGAACGACCAATGTCTTTTTATTTTATTTTTCTTTAAAAATGGGATTAGCTAGTGATAAAATCACGGTAGTCCATTTTTTTTAGAGGTTCGGAAGACTTACAGAAACATTTCAACTTTTTTATGCAACCATTGTGATATTCACCAGCTCCGAATCCAAGATGAGCCGCGA